CCCATGGTCAAGTATGGCAGTCCACTCCCGCAGCCTCCGTCTGGGCGACAATGGAAGAATTCTCGAGGACATCGGAAGCAATCAACGAGTATATCATTATCAGTGATGGGCCTTTACTGCCAGCTTTTCAAGTCATCCAGCAATTCAAGACCTTGCCAGATTTCTTGATGTTTCCGGTTTTCTTGTCATTAAGACATCACTCCGATTCCACCTCTACATTACCAGAAAATCTTCTACCAGACGGGGAGATAATTCATGGTATGAATGCCTTTGAGAGGTTCGCAAACGAAGCACAGGAGCGAAGTCGATCAGCTTCCGACGCTCTCAAGTATGCTTGTCACAACTGGACCGTACATCTCTCGCGTGCCCCGAATCCATGGGATGACACGCTCAATCATATATTCCAGGTTTTTTGGAAAGATCATATTATCCCCTGGCTGGAAATGGAGTGGTGTTTGAAAGGTCTACAGTCTTGCCTTGTCATCTTATCTGAAGGACAGGAAATTGTAAAGGTGTGTGTTTCGACGATTCAAGTCAGCCACAACTGATGTCGCCTTATGTCCCATAATATTTAGTCCATGACGTGACGCCTTGAAATTTTCTCTTATCTTCAGTTCGGACTCTTGAGCTGTTGACGCGCAACCCAGTAGCACTCGGATCCATCACCCCTACCCCATTGGCAGTGGTTACAAAACACAGGCAGGCGAGATTAGCGTCAGCTAGCAAGTAACGTAGTGTCCTGTGGTACGACAGACAGCGTGATGCTTGTTATTAAACATGCTGTCTCAAGTACCCACGAACGTTAGACCCTATTATATATTGTTGATACCAACTTCGAGTTGTCTCGAGCTATTGAGCAGTGGTACGTTCAAAAAGCCTGTTCGTACTATCAATAGTATGGTCACTGATCAGCAAATTCCCTAAGAGGTAATCACCTGAAGATTAAGCCGGACCAGTGGAGATTGGGCATGGGAGGAGCAGTGGATCCTTCTTACTCATGGCATCGACGAAACTTGAATTCCAGTGAAAACCGGACATCCTGAGGGCGTGTCACAACGTGCCAGAGCATGACAAATTTCTGAACTTTGTGCCAGATCGTGTAGATACAATAGATTATCACTTGCGCACTACGCATGCACGCGGTTGCTTCTAGCGCTTAAACTCTGCAAATTCACTCACATACAACGCACTTGTACACACTCGCATTGCAATCCAACACACTTGCACGTCGCACTGAATCCTCTCGTGTCCGAGCTCTACCGGGCCCACCTTGCCTACTATACCGGTAGCCCTCTTTGGTGTACCGGGGAGCGAAATACTAGGAAACAATCGGAGAACTCGTACTAATTTATAAAACCTGGCGGCGACTATTCATGCTAATCAAGATTAAGAGCCAGCGATGATCTATACATAAATATCAACGTCCCATAAACTGATTCATGCCTTCCCTCGATGTCTCTTCCTATAACCAGCACCATCCACGCCCTCAGATTTGTTCAGCCTATCGAGCAAGGACGACGTTCTCGGTGTAGGATCCCTCGACTCCTCGCCCCGCTCGGCATGTGCTGCAGCGCCTTTAATGCTATAACCGCTCATAGGATGCTTATCCGGCTCGGACGAATCATCCGCGCGTTTTCTTCCTGCTCCTCCACGTTTCCGCGAGGCCTTCTCCGCATCGCCTGGGATAGGCATCGTCATACGGCTCAGTAACGAAGGTGTCAGCTGTCGTTCCTCAGTCAATTCCGTCTTTGCTCGCTTGATCTGTGGTACTGTTTCTCCGGAGCTTAAGGATCGTTTGGGCAACGCGACAGAGCCAGAGTCGCGAGTTTGTATTGCTGGCCGAGAGTTCGATGTCGCGCCACTCGTGCCTGTATGCGAAGGTCTTGACATTTCTGGTCTTTTCAACAGCGGACGTCCAATTTGAGGTCGAGCCGGGAGGTGGGCAGGACGCTCATAAAGACCATCCCCATCGACAGTTGTACTCGAACTTGCTTGCGACATTGAAGTTTCGGTTAGCGACTGCTCAAACACAGAAAGAAACAATGGGCGTCAATGGAGAAAGCGGAAAGCGGCCCACTGCGAACCCTGATGAGTACTCGAATTTCATCGCTGTTGTTTCCTGGCCCCAACTGTTGCGCTTGCGCTTGAAATCTGCTTATGGATGTGGCCAAATCAAACGGAACTACCCAGTCTTCATGTTCTTTTCGCTGGAAACGAGTTATTTTGCAAAACCACGTGGAAGACCCGACTTACATGTTTGCAAGCTAGAAGGAGGGAACGCAGTGTGTCCCACATAGTTGAAGACTCGAGTTTTGTGTCATGGAGAGCCTAAGTCAATCATTCAGTGGATTGACCGTAGAATTGTGCGGATGACTTGCCTCCAACAAATTTGGTGCTCCATCAACAACCTGTCGCCGAAGAAATGAAAACTGTTCATGACTGCAAATTTGAGGGCGAAGACGACTTTCTTCTTCGCATGCTTCAAGTGCTTCAACCACTCGGCCCGCAAGAACAAGTTGCTCCTCGGGAGAAAACCTTTGTAAGACAGGTTTCCCCATCAGAGACGTACAGTAAAATCGTAACAACACAACAGGAGAAGCAACTCGTTTTTGAATGGCGACGAAGTGCGCCAAAGATATGTAGAAATCAATGGTCTTGATGGATCCCAAGTCGTTCGATTTCACGTTAAGAGAAGACCTCGCCTTGTCGATAAGTACGTGAAGAAGGTCCATTCCGCGCGCAGACCCTGGTCTATAGCAAGGCATCAGAAGAAGAAGGTCCTTTATGATCACTTCAACGTCGCGTGTTTCTAGCCTTCTGATAGCCTGTCGACGAGTCAGCCTTGCGAAACGGCGAAAAGCTGCACCAAATTACCGTCAGAAGTTGGCACACCAGGACGTTTTCTGTATCGGTACCCGGCGTTTTGGTGTATTTCCGAATGATGGCCTCAGCTGCATCAACTTTCAAAAAGGCTATCACGAGCGAGCGTAAACGATCACGAATTTGCTGCTCCTCTTCGTCTATTGTGTATTCGGGAGGAATTATTTGATCGCACAAGACTCCTAGAGTGACGCCGGGATCCATGTCGAGATGGTCACAAAGGGCTGTTTGGACAACAGCGACCTCTTCTGGTTCGTCTAGGGGGAGTGGTCAGCAAAACTTGAAAAAGTGAGACACATATATGCTCATCATCATCATCATCATCATCATCATTGTTGTAATTTGCGCGTTATATGTTTCAAAGTCGCCTTACTTACCACTTTGAAGAAGTTGCACAAGCACATCCGAATTTCGTTTAATCCACTTGTGCTCAACAGATGAAACGCTTGAGATTGCTCGATATCCTTCAATGCGGACCTGCAGTCGGGGTGTCATGAAAAGAACACACGAAAGTAAAAACAACGCACCCGTGAATCTTGATCCTCGCAAAGATCGTAGACTACGTTGATAGCGTCTTCTTCTAGGTCAGGGAAATCATTGAAAAAGTATCTTATGTGATCTGCTGCATAGCACTTGAGCTGAGAATTTGAAGAATGAGCAATTTCTATGAGTTTCGTGAGCGCGTCACGCCGCTAGTAAATTTATGTGAGGTCATTCAAGACAGCGAATTGCTACAAATATTACCAGATCACTGCCTCGGTCTTGCTCTCTTCCGGCTTTCTCGACGAGCCGATGTATTTGCGATTCTTGGTCGTCCATTTGCTCTTGCGTGTGAGCAGAAAGGGTATAACTCACGGAGGTTGTCCGACGAAGGAAAGTAGTTATGTCACTCCAAACGTAGAAATATATTCTCATCAGCCAAATAGGCATTACGTGACTTCTACGCACGTCAAACACGACTCGGAGTGCGGGACATATGGACGCACCTTGTCTTGCACCCCATCTGCCTAACCTGTAACAACCCAACATGAGCGTGCGCACTAACGACCAGATTCTTCATGATAGAGTTAATCTACCTCGCCTGGTAAAAAGGCTCGAGAAATCCGTGTCCGAGGATGATTGGTCTGATAGTTCGCAGCGAGACACCTGGATCAAAGCCCAAGGCACTCTCCAGGTTCGTTCAGAATTATTCGCGGTGGATATAGGACTCATAGAAGCTGACATTGTCTCAGCGAATCCGGCACGCCCGTTTGCTCCTGAAGAACGTCGAGGTTGATGACCATGGCACTTCACCGTACGTAGAATTGCTAAGGCAGACCGTCCGTTTAGACTCGCATTTAATGTGATTCTGTAGAGCCTCAGAACATCGTTATCAACGCTTGCGTGCGACGCTCGATCAAGTCGAAGCGTTTGTAACAGAGGTCGAGCAGGTATGCAGCCTTCACTATGACACATGTCCCCTTTTCTCGGCTCATCGACCGAATTAGAAAGCGGCTCCTCCACTTAAGAGACCAACACCAATCCTGCCATCAATACGTGCCCCTATGACAAAGGCAGCTGACCTCGAGACCATACCTGTAGAAGCGACGCTCATCCCAACAGAAGATACAACTCAAAGCGTGCCTAGTGCGGATGACCTCATACCATCTTCGCAGACAGAGTCTTTACCCTCTGAGCCCCTTGTACCACCAACTCTTCCTGGAGCATTTTCCGCTACTTCCAATATCACTGCTACACCTACCATCCTCCAAAACTCTCGCGCACTACAAGAAGAGCTCTCAGAGCAACTCGCACTAATGGCGACGCAGCTTCGGCGCAATGCTACCCACTTTTCCGAGTCGTTGGTTAAAGACAAGGGCGTCATCGAAGCAATGCAGGAGAAGCTTGAGGGCAACTTCGACTTCATGAAGAAGGAACGGATACGGTTAAGGGACTTCAGGGGAAAGAGTGGAAGTACAACATGTCTGGTGATTATGAGTATATTTGTCGTGCTGGTCGCGTTCATGCTTATGGTTCTCGTTATTCGAGTAACATAACCAATTCTTACAGGTTATGTCTTTCTTACATTACGCATCGTAGTTTTGTCATATGTATAATCACAAGTCAGTTATTCTAACGAAGTTTCAACAGTCCAAGTCGTCATCATATTATGTCCAGTAATATCTAACACCTAGACTACGAATGATATGGATGTAGTAATCATAACAAAACAAAACGCTAAATCAGCATGTCCCGACAGTTAATTAAGTCCAAAGATTAGAAGTGTCCCAGAGATGAATGCAAGTGTCCTAAATGATGTATCTACCCTACATTTAATGTGAAAGAATGTTATCAATGCATTGGTTTAAAAAGTCTCTGCGAGGCGTCAAATCTGCGCGAGGAAAGCGAGCCGCCATAGCCTCACGAGCTGATCTGAAGTCAAGTCAGTATCAGGGAATGTAGTGAAGTATAGGGGATAGCGCACTTCTTTGTAACACTCATCAAGTCTTGTGTGCTCAAAAAGTTCCTAAGTGCATTGTACAGCTCGTCATCCGAGGGGTTGGGATCCAGGTTGGGACCGGTAAACACAGTTGTAGCCATGGATAACGTAGACGTTCGCATTCCTCCGTGCAAAGGCTGAGGAGGGACACCCAAGCTCTGGGCGGGGGACATGGAGCGGTTGTTAAAGACTCCAGATGCCATTCGCGAATCAGGTGGCGTCATCCCATACACGCTTCCATGTGGACCCGAATTTGTAGGAGTAAACATGTTGATCCTTTCCTGAGAGGGTCCTCTCCAGTTGGCCATCTGAGGTGGTGGGCGGTTGGTGTCAGATACGGCACGAGAGCTCGGGCGTGAAGGCCCGTGTATGTTGTGATGTGACGAGTTGCTATGTATCATGTTCGTGTCGCGGTAGTAGTCGCGGTCTCCTGATTCAGAGCGGCCATACTCGTAGACAGACGGGTGTTGGGAGCCTGACGGAAGATGCGGCTGAGGGCCGGGGAGATACACGGAGCTTGCTTGGTTGAAATCAGGAGGCGAGCCATATGACTTCCCGGAATGATTGTCACCCAACGTTTCAGCCTCATAGTCTGCACGGATTGCCGTTAGCAGGTAGCATGAGTGAGAATGCATATTGACGAACCGCTAAACTTCTTGTACGGAATCATGGACTCGTTGAACTTCATGTCGTTGTTGGCGACGATCTTCTTGCTTCCGCCATCATCGAGCACGACACGAGTGTTACCCCAACCGAACTCATCCATCCGCCAGAATGAATATATGGGCAGGAAGAAACTGTAAACTGGGTACCTGTAATGACAGAAAATGAGCTATGCATTTGATACGGAACAAGTCAACCCACGAAATGAGATAGACCACCATCCATCCAACAAGCATGAACTCTCTTCTTATGATGAAAATAAGAGCCTGGGAAATGCCATCGTAAATTACTTCTCTTAATTAAATAACGTACTCACCTGAAGACCATACACCGCTGCCAACATGATGATTGAAATCAGAGGGAACGGAGATTGTCCAGTAGAGACCTCGATAATCAGCCAAACCAACTAAACGCAACGTTAGCTGGAACTCGGTGATAGATAAGATGCTACGACTCACATAAACAACAGTGGCAGGCAACATCTAATGAAAAACATCAGAGATCGCACATTGACGCTTTGAATGGACCTCACCAAAGTACCGATCAGATCGAGAAAGACGAAGAACCTCATTGAGAAACAGCAGACGCCGCAGAGGTCAGGAAGAACAGCAAGCTCGCACAAGTTGTGAACGGTCGAGTTGATCCAACGCCTCCGTTGTGAAAATAGCACTCTCCAGGATACCGGTGCCATGGTACGCGCAATTGCGTCCGGGGTGAACTTGGTCTTGAAGGTGGGGAAATGTTTCATCAACAGCGTCGTCAGGAATCGATCTTCGCCTAGAGAGAACAAGTTCTTCTTGTGCAGGGTGTCCACGTTATTCTCCGCATATTCATCAATTACACGGTTGGAGATGATGAGCGGTCGGCCTTTATCATTAGTGCGGACGCGGTAAAGGGTGAAGCAACCAGGAAGACACGAGACAGAGCCGAAAAGACTCTCGAAAGCTTTGGACAAGTTGTGCGAGATGTAGTACTCGTATACCTATAGGTATGTTGGCATAGATACACAAAATGTGTAAATTCGAACTACTTGCCTGGATCATGGTCCACCAGGATCCCTCCTCATTCTGGAGTCTCGTTTCACCACATATGCCGATTATGTTGGAATCTGATATCGAGGCTGCCACAAGACGGTTAAGAGAGTTGGGACTCACGGACTGCGAAAAAGATGTCAGAGCTTCTCGAGATAGCGAGCAGTAAAGTGTACCGTATCTGCATCCACAGTGAAGATGTACTCGTAGAACGCAGGATCAATTCCAACAACATTCCGCATATGATGATATATCTCGAGCTCTAGCGGGCACATGGGTGCGTTGAAGTGCACTCTGTTCAAGTACTGCATCAACAGGACCTGACTGTCACGCTTGCCACGGTTTCCGGGTTTTGAACGTTCACTTGGCTTCCCAACCTTCACGACGACGATATAACTAAACAAAAAAATGTCAGCAATGACTTCATAGTTACGGAGCGGATGACGTACGGAACAACATGGCCTTCAAACTCGTACAATCCGGAGTATACCTTGCCATAGTTGAGCTTCTGCGAGCCCTCTCCGATTGATTTGAACATCAGGGGCTCAGGATTATTCGCTGGGTCAACGCCAAGGATGTCGAGTACGAGGGCAGGTGTCGGCCGCTCATTGCCGCTCCCGATGATATTCCCATCACAAATGACCAAAATCAGCTTCCTCTTGTCGTCGTAGTCCAAATTGGCAAGTGAGTCAAGTGTACGGCGAAGGGAATCCTCTCCTTCCGTGTAACAAGGGACCTGGCATATCACGAATTTATCCAGTAACTCAGGGAAGCGCTTGGTATGAAGTTGGAGTGCAGCAATGACTGTGCGGAGTGAGTGCAAGCAAAGCTTCAGATAGGAAGATGACGTACATTTCAACGCCATCGAGGACATGATGATACTGGAGAACGCAAGCAAAAGGTAGTTCTGCACTTGACATCTAGCAGTGTACCGGAAGTCCGTCTCTCCATAGTAGAAGGCATTAGAAAGACAGTCCATATTCGCCGTACGGTTTTCAGCACTCATGGCACCCAAGACTGCATTCAAAGCGTCAGTAATGTCCTGCCCGGCTTGTTCCTCAAAGACTGCAACGAGGTTCGTGTCAAGGAAACTGTACGAGGCGACATTCAGGTTGATCGTGTTCATAGTGTAGACGTAGTCTGTCAAATCATAGATGCTATTATCGTAAATTGCCCAAGTTCTGCGGAGATAATGAGTGATGTCACTGAAGAATACTAAGTACGACTCACCGCGGATTCGTGGTTTGATTAGCCTCAGAGTAGATGTCGCTTGGCTCCCAAACCAATGGACCAATATAATACTGATCGATACTTGGTTTGAAGGTCGCGGTGTACCAGTCCTGGTTATCGAGAGCTGTGGGAGTCGTCGGAGCATTGGATCCGGAGGAATGCATGGCTTGCGGGAACAAGAGTAGAGTATTGTTCTCGGGAGTAATTTTCATTGTCGCATCGCTGACAAGACCCGCGCATGCCACATTTAAGGGAGGGGGGAAGTAGTAGGTCATGTCGGTACCAGCGAGCCCCTCCAGGGTGGCCTCACTATTACTTGGCTCTCCCACGATGTCACTGTGGTCACCGCGAACGAAATTGGAGACGTCATAGACCCTGCCTTGAATGGAGACGTAGTAGTCATTTTCACCTGTATATTGAGCCACTTCGTTCGTGTTCCATGCGTAGTCGAAGTTTGGGCAGAGAATGATACCGAAGGCGATGATGTAGAATAGGATAAAACAATTTCCGAGGAGGATGAGGATGCAGATGGTCACTTTCTCCCGCCATGCAAGGCGGACGTCAGGGCGCTTCATACGGCCTAACCACGACAGCAAGAAATTGGGAATAAACCAGGTGAACAAGAAGACGACATAAATCCAGTAACGTCGGGTTCGAGTAGTTGGCAGCTCTTCCTCCAACATTTCAGGAGCGTTTTCCGCAGTTAGCATGGCAGTATTAGGCATAAGGGGAGGTGTTCCGTCGAAGTTTTCAGGCTTCGTATCCCACATCGTGGAACTCGACTCCTCGCGGTAACTAGGAGCAGCGACATGAGATGGTGCATAACCATCAAATATAGGTGTTTTCGGCTCTTGGAATGGGGTGGCTTGCGGTTCATCAAAGTATGCTGACTGCCGTTCATCACCAGGGTAGTCTGTGGCATCATCGGGCATGGCGCTCTCGTCCTCTTGTGAATCCTCGCGAGCAAGCTTCTTCTGCTCTTTCTCCTCAGCACGCACAACATCTTCTACCATCTTCCATGCCGAGTACGATAGCCAGATCCTCTGGTTCCCAATCGCAAAGTCTATGCCCTCTCTCCAGCCATTAGACTGGGCGCACTGACGCATGCGCTCAGCATCTGATCCGCGCATAGTAGGACGATATCTGTCACAAAACTCTGCCTGATCAAAGTCTGCAACAAACTCGACCTGTTTCCTCAACACAATAGCAGGGAGTAGCAGAGCCCTGATTTGTCCTTTGACGCGACGCTTGTCGAGGGAGTTGGAGAACCCATTATCATTGGGGCGAATGCACGTGATAGTCCACATTGGCACATTCTCGATGTTGAACAAGACATTCCAAAGCGTCTGATTGAGCTGCGTAGTGACGGGATAGATTTTGGATGGGTTTAAGTGAGGGTTCTCATCCGCGCTTTCTCCCAGAGGAGTGAGTATGCGAAGAGGGCGGGAAGAGACTTGAGCTTGGACGATAGTTTCCTCATCACTCTGGTGCTTTTCCGTAGACAAGCTGGGGCCCGACACGAGCTTCGCGACAAACACATCAGTGGAGCTGCGAAGGAGAGTGACGCAAGAAGGGTCAAGCAGGTCGGCGTCCTTCTCCACGAAGTTGCTGATGTCATATGAACAGGGACCAGCATAGTGGTTGATCCTGAAAGATCTCCTCTCGTCTGTGGTCGGTGCTGCAACGAAAGACGAGTGTGCACCAAACTTGGCACCCAAATCCCGCAGTAACTCATCATTCCGCTGATCACCCGCACGCCCCGATTTGAAGGACATTACGGCCTTGTCAACGACACCCAGGAGACCGCCAGGTTTTCGTGACATTTTCTGAGCCGTGTATGAGCCCCGAAGAAGCTCGGCGCACGCAGAGTTGTCCATAGCAATGATAGCCGGTAGCGAGTTCCCATCAGCAATCATACGACTGTTAAAACCTGTGCTGTCGTCAAAAATGTTCCGAAGTATGTGTGATTGCACGAGTTCGTCGGTGAAATTGATGCAGAATTCATCAAATCCATTCTGATGAGCCGAGATAAGGGGGGTTGGGCCACTCGACCCTGAAGGCGCCCGCGTCTGATAGCCTGCTTGGTCGAGCAGTACAATACGAGTGGCGGAACATGTAGGGCTTAGGGAAGCAGGGGCTAGCTTGAAATTGGCAGTTTCCACCACGAATGCAAACATGATTGCATAGAGATCGCGAACTAGCTGGTCTCGCTGTGCTGCACTTTGCTGCACATTGAGTAGCACAGTATACAGCTCCCTGCGTACATAGCTCGTCTTGCACGTCAGTGTGTCGCTGAGTTCGTCAGGAGAAACGCCCAAAAGTTTTGCCGCCTGTTGGAGAACTGGCACATTAAGGACATATGCAGAGACATCCTGTGCATCAGCCTCCTCGAATTCGAGGTTGCCGAGCAGCAGGATGGCAGCGAGCACGCTAAGTATTGACGAGACGTGCTTGGACTTGAAGCCTAAAGTTTTGAAGGCGTCTCGCAAATCATCCATCGCGATGCCATCATCACTGAATGGGCCAGCAGGCAAATGATAGCAACCGGACGATGCTAACAGGGCGTAGTCCGAAGGACTTTCCAAGCCCATGTAGTCACGCTCCATTGGCGTAGCCCCAGCAAGAAGTTGGTAAAACACATGGTAAGATCGTTCTTCATGTGACAAGCGAGTTAAGCGGGACTTGTCAAGCCCAAAGGCGATAACCTTCGCAGCACTGATACGCCCGCGATCATTGAAATGAAGCTCCGTGTAGCGTGTGTGTCGTGAGGCATTTGGGTTCACAGGCGTTTTTTGCATTTCCGAAAGACTCGAGCAGCACTGTGAAAGATTTGATTTGCTCAGTGATTTTGGCCTCTCGTTTGGAGTGAGCTGAGAGGCGCAAAATCTGGTCCATGAGCAGGCGACTGCTTGCGGTCTTTCCCGACCCCGAGATTCCCCTGACAGAATTGTGCTATGAGCTGCAGTTTCGTTCGATTCGGAAGTAACTTACCGAGTGACAACTGCTTGAGACTCGTTCCTCCTTCTCATAAGAAGATAAATTTTGGCCGCTTGCTCATACAAGTGAGGCTGAGGGGGTCTCCGAGCATCTGCCAAGCCTAGCTTGGTGTCCTTGTAGCATCTCTCTTCGTACTCCTTCGCATTAGCATCGTTGACGCTGGCGAGTGTTTTGTAGGGATTGACTACCACCAGGTTTGTGGATCCGAGTCTAGTGTATGGTAAATCAGCGCGAAATCGAGCGGTGAGAACAGAGAGAATGGAATCATCTGTAGGATGAACGGTGGCAGGTGTAGAAGACAAAACAAGGTCTGTTAGCTCGCCGGAGCTAGCAGCCTGAGACACAAGATTGGCCGAAGCAGAGGCCATCGTGCTGAAGGGTGAACAAGCAATGAGTCGTCGAGTGGAAAGAAATGTCAGCTAGACATGCCAGGCTATTCAGGTCGGGCCGTCGGCATGTGGACAGACTGCGCCTTTTTTGATGTGAACATACGTTATTCTTGGACATCTCCGTTCTGGGCGTAAGCGCATCGCCGCATATGTTTCAACCTATTGGAATGTCGCTATTTAGGGTACTTCGTGTGTCAAGCTTTCAAGGTTCACACTGGCTTTGGGGAGGACAGGCTAAGAAAAGCGTGAGACCGTGATCTGCCAGTGGGCATTGGGCACAGGCTAATTGGCAGGGAACTGGAGGCAACCATGACAGTACTAGACTGCTAGTGAGCGGACTGCCCTGCCCGATAACATTGAAAGCTTGACAGTTTGGCGTTAGACATCTCCAAGACAACATTCGATGTCATAATTGCTACTAGAAGACAAAGTTCAGCACCTTCATTGGTAGTCCTGCTCGGAAATCCGGTACCCAGGGAAAAAAACCCACCAAAATGAACTAAAATGCGCAGCACTTGCCCTAGGCCTATTTTCTGCAAGACGATCATTCACAAAGAACGTGCACAATGATTACACACCACATGTTACAGCGCAATGTCAGATTTAGAGAGGGTGCAACTGTGACATTAATGATTAGGAATCTCGCCGTGTGAGAAATAACCAACCGTGCCGGGCCACCTAGAATACACACCTCTTTCAACAGCTTCCCAACGATGCCGGGTCCCTCAGATCCGAACGGGTAGTAAACCACCCCTCCAATACGAGCTCATAAGGAACTCGGTCTCAAGTAGCTTCGTGTGGTCAGTATCAGCATTTTTCGGTCTTTCGGCTACTACTTTCACCGTGACCGTGTGCCTACCACGAGGCTTCGACGTACTCATCATCCACTCCATACTTCATGGGCACCTTAGGCCTTACTGCTGCTGGGTTTTCATCAATATGGAGCCTTTGCGTCAGCCGGATGGGCCTTCATGCCGCGTAGTGACTATGCACCTCTGGAAACGGTGACTGCCAGACAACAGATGGCTGGTGGACTTGCGTGTCATAGATTGGGCGATCGTGGAACTTCTCAATTTCTCTGCAGAACAATATAAGCTGACACAAAGTACGACTGCGCATTCAAACTTGGTCTCGAGAAACCTTATGGAGTGCAGACCTGTGCACGCAGTAACTCGCAGTATACGAAGACGTGGCTTACTCATGTGGAGTCCAGCTTTGCTGTGAAGGATCTGCATATGTGAGCAGCTTTGAGGTAAGGGTATCCCTTCCGAACCGAAACTCAAACTATCTCACATTTGTGTCTTAGGTTTTGATATTTCAGTTATCCGCTTACAATAGAAAGCACTACTCCATTTTCACGCAATCAAGTCCATCTTAATATTGGCTGTACACGACATTTCTCACCTCACAATGATTCGCAAGTTGGCAACCTCGTTGCGCCCAAATATCTCTTCCGAGACCTAGAAGCAGTTCGTGGGCAATCGATTCTCGGTTGTAAGTATATCCTCTTGGCGAGCCGGAACCAATGTCCTCTTACTGAATAGTACGAAAAGCACTGTTAGAAGTGTCGACGCACTGACACTAGTGACTGCGAGGTGTTGACACACTTCTTAGACAAGCGACAATTCCACCGTACGCGTCTTTTCGTACTCTTCCCAGCATTAGTCTATCCGCGAGGAAGAGTGAACACCCGGTGGATAAGGAGCATCGCCCTTTAATTAGACCAGTGAAGTCACACAGGCAAGTGCCTTACGGATTCCACTGGAAAGTGACACTGGATATTCGACAACTTCTGGCGGTACGCGTTATCATCCCGACATGATTATGTAGAGGACATGGGGGCATTAACATGGCTCGACACAAACTTGGGAGTGGAGGATATCGCTGGGTAGCATGAATTAGAGTTCAGCTGCCAGGTTAAATGGATAATTTTAGAGTGCTGGTGGGTATCTGACCTGACTGACTGAGAATTACTTGGTAGGATGTTCCACGAACCCTGCAGTCTTCCCTGGATGTCATCCTTTTGCATCTTCAGCCGTAGTGTTCAACTGCCCTTAGGGTGAAACAACCAGGTTGATATCTATCCCCCTGGTAAGTTAGGTACCGTCTAAAGATTGACTCGCTCTTACTAATCAGAGGCTTTTCAATGCTAAGGCACCAATTATAGAAATTTGACCTTTTATATCGACATGGTCCAGACCATCGATGAACGGCCGGGTCATGAATACGACACCCTCTCATTAATGGCCAGTGCATATGACCGGTCTAGTTTCCAAAGGAAACGCTTTGATTGACCTTAATCCTACCAACGTGATTTACAGTTTAAATCCCGAGACGAGATCCAGTATTACTAGGAAGGACATCAGAAACTCAACACAGCACGGACGAGTCTTTCACCTTCAAGGCCAACTAGCCTCGATTTCCGATCGTAATCCATTCCAAGATGAGTGAGAAAGATATCGTTGTCTTGGAGTCTGGACTTACCAGTATGAGAGTTCAGGTTTGCAAATAATACGATCTGATGCCCGCACTGTTTCCAAAACGATTTGAATGAGCCTTGATCGTAATGAATTATGCAATAGGCCCTCCTGAGACTATAGGGTCCTTCAAGTAAGTAGGTTCGGGATACCGCTCCTGAAATCCAACATATTCAAGTTCCCTTTTCCCTCTGAAATTCCATAACATATGCTTACCCCCAATTGGATGTGACCACGAGAGCTCCACGAGTTCTTTCATGGAATACGCCACGGTAGGCAGAATCGAGGATACGGCTGGGATTAACTTCCGCTCGTATTTGCGCAACTCGACACGGAACCCCGGAGACGACCGAATGATCCTATGTATAACTCCCTGGTATTTCCCAACGTGAGGCAAGTGTCATTGAAGATGTCCACGAGCAAGGTGCCTGAGGAATCTTATCGGACCCTGGCATGAAAGGTGAATATCTAATCTACGTTAGCATCGGTAAACTGACATGAAACACTCGAATATAGTTCTACACAATAACCCACTTAACAAGGACGTTTTAGCTCGTCGAAGGCCAAATAATGCACACATTCCCACTCAGTCCCTGGCTTCTATGCGACATTCTATTGATCATGACGCCAAACCTAATTCACGTGACGTGAATGTGGATAATGAGCTAATGGGAAATGTCTAGTAAAGAAGACCCCGCATTCAGTGGACGAATGGTCAATTATTTCCACCGGGCAGGTCCAAGTCATATGACGAGCATAATCGGGATACTCACCTTTCCTATAGAGACATCGGATCGAGGGTACTGACGGTTCCGACATACAGTGGTTCAAGCATCGTTCATCATGTAACCAATGGCCAATATGGCGCCTCCAAATCTTTCCTATAGAGAAATCAAATCGCGGGCGCTGGAGCTCTCCAATATACAGTTTTTTAAGCATCATCCGCCGGAATTGCAACGCAACCAATGGCCAAAACGGCGCTTCTAACGAAATAAGTGTCGGATCCACCGTACTTCTCAAAGTACTCTGAGTTCACTCCACAGTGCTCAGGGCTCCACGCAAGCGACTTTCCAGTAAGCGTCAGATCCACCTCCACATGCATATACTCCGAGAATTCAGCGCCATGTGCGGCAACTTTGTTGCTATGTTGTCAAGCGTTCGCATTCGCAGCCAATGGCCTTTTGGTCGCCTTCAATCACGTGGCCACCGGCTCCGCGGTCAAGTTGGAGCCCGTGCATACTAAGCTATCATTCTCTTCGCATGCGAAATCATCCAGATGACATCGGAGGCAGGTACGAGCATAACTGAATTGTTTCGTTTTGAAATGCGTTTGAGACAGATGTCGGGACATCAAATGTGATTGAAACAGGTATTGTGTTCCTTCCACTTGGCTGCTGGCAATGATTTGGCCATTTCGACAATGAGCGCTTCTGTCAGACCGGCGATCATCCGATAATCAGCAGCATTACATTGATTATGTAGTACACGATCGAGTTGCACGAAGCCAGACTGATTTGTCCAAATGACTTATCGATGAATAACGGATAAGAATGGTTATTCCGAAGATGTCAATGGTCGGAGGTGATACGCTCGTTCGAATCGACTGATATTTGTGTGGCGAGAAGTTCCCGTTTGAATATTACTGGAAGGAATGGCAAACCGCCGGTGCAAGTGACGTTACAAGTTGAGAAGACCTGGATTCTTGGGTTCTAGTCAAAGGGGCTGTCTTGATCTGGATGCCTTCTCGATCATCCATCCTTGCTGTGGTGTTGTCGAATGGAATCCGACTCGGAATCTCAAATCGAGAGTTACATTGCAAATGGATGCATCTGATGATTTCGAGAACCGCAATGGCAGTGTAGATGCTGTAGGAATCTAGGCAGGGAACAATACGTTAGATATGGAGGCCTGAGCGAACACCATTCACGTCTATTGTCCATCGTACGACATTGAGTGGACAGATGTCACACAATGTACGTTCTTCCCTGTGGAAAAAGCAAGAGTGCCCCAAAAATGTCGGATGTGACCACCGGTGATCGGATCCAGACATGGAAAACAAATATAGTTCGACGGAGCGCAATGGGATAACCTAACGGCCCTTTGGAAGAAAGCATAAACGTGTTATCCACAAACTCTAACATATGATGAACTTCCAAGAAGCACTTTAATCTTGGTGAATGCGGGGTGATGTATAAGTATGACGATACTTATGATCGCATTACTGACGGGGCATGATAAATATCGATCATGGATCAACATGTACCAGGCACGCGGGTCCAGACGTGATCAATCATCAGGTATTGACTCTCACCGAGATTGCACCCAGTATGCCGACAAGCGTAAAGTGCACGGATCGGACGAGTGAAAGGTCGGAAGTACGGCGGCCATGGAATGGTAACGAGAGTAGTAAAACCTTGCTTCGTTGGCGGGAGGTTGCGGATCGAATGATGAGACATGCAAAGGGAAGCCGAAACTAGTACTAAACCAGCGTAGGGTCATAGGTTAGCGGAAATCGGAGGAGGGGAGTAACACAGGCTGACTAGAGGAGTAGATGATAACTCAGCAGGTCGACGGCAGTACTACTTAACAGGTTTCCGTGAGTCGCAACGTTCGCCGAACGGAGATGATTATGAATAAGATTCTTATAAAGCGTAAAACGAAATGGCTTATGCAACACTGTGCTGTGTACCCCTGGAGCTGGAGCGCTGGAGGATAAGAACTAGAACTGTGACTCATTGATCAGCTGCGTGGCGCTCCAGCACATATAGGGCCTTGATGCGGTGGGCACGGCACAGAGAATACGCAATTGCTTTCGGAAGCACGCGCAATCCTCGGGGCTGAACTTGTACTGATGAGCATGATTTTCCGCGGAAAGACCAGCATGTGCATGTCGCTTGGACTGAGTGTTGAACGCATGTTATGAAACAATGTCACAGTGATGAAACAAAAAGGTAAATTATCGGCGTGGACCACGGCGTGACGTTAAAAAAATAATTGTGAAATATTATACAAATTAGGAAGTTCACCCATCTATGACATCGGATCTAGGTTTGACAACACCGATTTCTGGGGTCGCAGGATATTGCCGTGAATCGTGTGGACTGCTCATTCAAATCACACATGCCAGGCAATCTCCTACGACGAATCTTCCACTTGTTTCCCCTTTATTTCCTGCCTTGTCCTGTGGACTCTTTTACTTCGTGTTATCCTCGTGTTTTCAGCGAGGCGGTCTATGTGAATCACAAGACCCACAACTCTTAAGCGTAGCCAAAGCGTTTTTTAACACATACTTAATATCTAAATCCTCTCCCATGACCATCCGTTTGTTGGAACCACCATCTCCTTCTCAATCTCTCTCGACGATTTCAAGATCGCCTAGCTCGCTCGCAACGACTTCCTCGGGAAATTGTAACTTGACCACACCTTCGAAACGTGTCCCATCCTCTCGAACACACTCACCACGAGGTCGCATTTGCACGCCGAATAAACTAACTCCCTCTTCCAACTCACATCCTACTCTTGCAATGTCTATAGTTGCTCCTAATCCTCGCACCCCTCAGCAACAGAGCAGTCCCTCACGCATTCAGCGACCTCACTCACCTCCCCCACGACCGTCATCACGGTCAGAGCGTCTACTGCGAGATACTCTCAGGAAAGACAATACCCTTCGTACAACCGTCACCTCCCGCGCTCGTTCGCGCTCGCGGTCATCCTGCAGTGACTGTGATGACGACGACTTCTTCCAACCCGTCCTGGTCTTCGAATCGTCGCGCAGGAATAGTGCTACCTCCACTCGGAATTTCAAGTCAAAAAGTTTCTACGTTCCGAACGAGAATGAGGACTCGTCATATGCTCAGCTACTCAGATCAAGCTCAGACTTGGATGCTAAGGGCTACCCTATTGCTCCCGTCCGGCAAGAGAAACTGGATGAATGTCTTGCGACATCATTACCACGCTCCTATGTTCTCGGCAGTGATGCAGCGCCTCATGAGGCTGTCCTGAGGTCACGTTTGGAATGCGTGCTACATCGTGGAATGCGTGAAGAGGAAAGGCGAATAAAGAGGTCGCCGGAAGAGGAGGTGAGCGCCCATCATGTATGACACACAAGCCCCTGAATTAAATACTAATATGTATCACCCTGTGCAGTCCTCATCAGCGTCTCCTCCTTCATCAGCGCGCTCGCTTTCTAATTCATGCGCAAATTCTCAAACATTTGAGAAACCCTGTGTGACTGCACATGATGTGGATCCCTTGATACTACCATCTATATCGTCAAAACACGGCCGAGGGAATAGATTTTCGCGGTCGACGTCTGTAGCTTACTCGCAAAAATCGCCACGATCACCACAATCGCAGGGAGAGACTTCGCCGTGGATGACGACACCTCTCCCACCTTCGCCATTCTCGACCCCAACAAAGAAGCTGCCTTCTTTATCATATGCCACGCCCTCACCGCACTCACCCAACCCGGCGATTCTCTCGAGTTTTTCGAGCGCCAATTCCCAAATACCAGTGAATCCTCCGCAGTTTGATCTGCGCGCGGCATCACAAGCTTGTAAGCAGGTATCGGGATACGTGAGTTTTGCGAGTGTCGCTGGCCTGGGCGCACCGCCTGGTGTGGGCGATGACGACGTGAGCGTAAAGGAACCACAGCGTGGCCGTGGACGCGGGCGATGGTGGGTTTTCTAGGTTACATATTTTGGGATGGATTTTTGGGTTTCCGGAAAGAGGACGTCGCGATCTTACTGGACGACATCCTGAATGCGAGGAACAAGCTTATGTTATGCTAATTTAATCCCTTGCTGATGATTTCTGGAGGCTTATGCCTAGTATGCCCGCGTATGCATGGACGGGTGTCTGCTACGTTTATGGTGTAGCATTCTTTGTACTCTTTTGTGTATGATGCTATAATTCATCTCAGATACAAAATGTGTCGATTGAGCGCTGTGTAGTTGACATAGACAACTAGGGTACCCAGATTTATAATGCATCAACTAGAGGAGAGCAACCAACATTTGCAGTGAACTTGGAGACGTGGCATAGTTGCGGTAAGTTGCTCTGCAGTTGCCCGACTGGTTACTATATACATGCAAATCTACTACGGAGTACGGCCGTCATCGGGGGAACGTGGCATTTGTGTACTAGTTGTCCAGCAATCAGTGTACGAACAACCGCCACGTCGCTTCCGAATGAGAAACCAACCTATCACTGTCATGAAAACAAGTGTCGAGAGAAACGTGTTAAATTAGATCATGCCCGAACACAGCATTTAAACTCATCATGCTACCATGATATCAATATCAAATCTGCGCACTTTGAAACCGACCATATCGTCATCTATTGACCTACCAGCACAGCTGACATATATAGAGCTTAGGTCAATATCGAAACACCTCTTGTAATAGAAACTGGAATTAGCTACGAACTGCCAATGATGCGTGTTTTACATACCACGCGAATACGTTATGTATACATAGGCCGAAATTATTGCTATGTGATTAGTGGGATGCTTACCGTATGCGACGCTCCGGAGAGATCCTTTACGTTCATGTACGTGAGTATGGACACGCTAAAACGTAGTCGCTTGAGAGCTGTGTAGTGTCAACAAGAAGTTCTGGAGGACCGTGGGTCCGGGCTACCGACCTCTAGGTACCTGGCATATTATTACGAGGATTCTGAAGAACGCCGTCATCGATCGCGCGACTCCATGCCATTCCCCGTTTCGATCCGAGGCATTTGTTGACAGTCTGAGTCGTATCACACCGGCACGCGTGAACAGCCGAAGACTGATGTCCTTTTCAGGAGTGAGGGAGGATCTGATCAATGGCGTCACGACGTGATCATTATGTTTGGGGATTATGGGTGCCGGTTGGAGCGTGCTGACTCCACAAAGAACACGGTGACGGTGGTAGAGGCATATTTGCTAGGACGTAGGAGTAGTTTCCGACAATAGAAAAGAAATTGAATCATTATAGCACCCCGGTGGACTGGTCCCTGCCACAGCATGAGGCCGATTTGGAGTTCCGAGTCCTCACTGCTCCCCACAAGCGTGGACCGTGGACCCAAAACTCAAGCGGGATCTATGTATATCACGCTGAGTCAATGGATTTAAAGATAGCCATAGCAACACCGACCGTTTGTTGGTCAGCTCGAGCTCTAACCGGAACCTCCTGGATTGGTTGCTTGCTCAGCCATTGTGCATGCATACGCAACGACACCCTTATCGATGTCAGTGCTAATCTGACACTTACGCACTCCAACTCGGTTATTGCGATTGGGCAGCTGCTTAGTTCTTCGTGCCACCACGATAGCCTATGTATATCATACAGTTATACGATACGGTGACACGTCATGATAATGATTGCCAGGCTCACTTTTGCCATAAACAGTTGAAATGTTCTCCACTGGGGCCAGTAAGTAACATTGGTCCAAATCGTTATCTGTAAGGCACGTATCGCTTTCATTGGTCTTGAATCGGTACAAGAGCGTGAAACCCACTACAGGCTTCATATCGGCTAAGGCACGGAGTCAGTCGTGCTGGAATGAATGTCCAAAGAAAGCCATGCTGAGAGTCATATTTACCTCTCATCGGTTACATCTAAAGGCACAGTCAGACAGGGTCAGAATATCGTGAAAGGGAACCATGTAAGTGAACAGCTTCGTGGACTCCGGGCGAGGTCTTACCGGTATAATTGAGCGAACAATCGGATATGGAGAATGGAAGCCGATCTGAATCGCCAACTGAGTAAATGAAGCAGTCAGATTTCAACAAGTTAACGGCTGGTAAGTAAACTCACGCATGGCAGACTCTTGCAATCGAGACCACAGTAGATGTATGTGGAGAAGGTTGAGCGAGTCATTCAGTTGCGCGACAAGTTCGAATCACCACGGAACGAAGCATATGTGTAGTTCTGATGTGACGATCCAATTTGAAATCCTTTTGCGCATCATCAGTATTGTCATAATGCAGTAATACCAGAGTCGTAGCCCAGAGGTATCAGCGGTTTGGTTCGAGTGCGGTTACGGTGCTATTCTGGGTGACAGAATCCACCGGGGTAGGTATGTGTCGCGAATGCGGACTTGCAGTTTCTGCATCGGTATGTGGAATGGTCGGCTACTTGCGGGGCACGGTGCTAGACTGCAAGGCACCGCCAGGCCGCTCGACAAATAAGACAAAAGAGCTGCCATTCACTTTCTCGTGACAGGACCTAGGCACTACCTAGCCAGTAAGTGAGTACTTACGATCCGAGACACTCGGTCATCTACTTTCGACAACACTTCGATAGTCTCCCACTGTGAATGCAATTCAAGGGATTGCATAGATTAATCTGAAGCTAAGAAACTTACCCAAAGTCTCTCTGAGAACGCTTTGCCCTCAGCACTCAATAGGTAATCACATTCCTCGACGACCTCACAACTTGACATATACTTGCCATGGAGATCCTGCGCATTTGTTGCTAGAGCTGCATAGACAAGAGTACGACTGCCCATTTCCGATGTTCTTGCGCGAAGAAGCCACTTCACGAATGCAAGAATCATACGTAAGAGACAGTACTTCTCAAGTTCCCGCTGTAAGGATGAGTGGCAAAGCCCAGGGTCAACGGCAGTGATGACCAATGGAGTGGGAGAAGGAAGCCGGGCAGTAAGTTCGCGTACGAACGCGACCTGGAGCACTATGTATCTCCATTAGTAACAGTAGAATCATTTAACCAGATCACAACGTACTCTTCGACAGGTTGTACCTGGACATCCTGTACCAACTCAATAAGGTTCTGTAGATCTGAAAATGAAAAGCACCAACCCAGACGCCCTAAATTTCTCCGCACTGATAGTTCCTAATACGTGATCCCAATTCCGTGAACCTGTCAACACGGGTTCCGCAAGATAATGTCCCAAACTTGACACCAAGACCAGTCGGGATGGATCGTCACAAGTTGCCGAATGGAGTAGATGAGGCAGAAGGAGAATGCTCAAAAGGGCCATTGAGAGATAGTTGACTTGCAGCCTTTCGTTCACGTTAGCAAATTGGAATGACACATGACACGAAATTAAAGCAGACATTACTTCCCAATCATCTTGGGTTCGAGTATAAACTGGTTTGAATGTGCCCGCGTTGGCGACGAGGATATTCAGACGTTCTGGCCCTTCTGCATTGAACCTGTCGACAAAAGAGCGGACATTGTCAAAAGAAGACAGTTCTAGCGGCCATGAATCGAGACTAGCTGGTCGAGTTCCAGCGCAGCGTTCGCGGAGAACTGAGAGCATACGCGTGACCATTTACTAGTGCACTATAAAGAACATCGCACCTACCTTTCAAAGTTTGCTCACACTTTACTTTGTCTCTACACGTCGCAATGAGCAAGCTGGGTTCTTGTTCGCGACATGGGTCGATGCCTCGAGTCCTAATCCAACGTTCGCTCCAGCTATGACGACCGTCTTCCCGTCCACCAACTCTCTTGGAAGGGGAAGGTCTCTTCCTTGTTCGCTGAAGAAGCTCCAAGGGCTCAACTTGCCCATGTCGATGGAAGAAGGTTTCCACTGAAAAGATTCCGTCCGCTGTGGTGTCAACGAGCTTCCTGGCATCCTGTCACTTTAAACGGTTGCTTTGCCAAGACACTATTCGCTACCAGCTTAATGAATCGTAACATAGTCACAGTAGATGCAGGGAAATGTGCAACATGACTCGGATATCATTAATATGATGATCCTGAAGGTTCAAGTAATAAGGTACAATATTTCGTGTCGCACTCACATTAGACTGAGGCCTCGACAAGGGAACAGCCGATGAGGGTGCTCAGGAATGGCTCGTCCTTTATTTGTCAGATAGCTTGAACTTTGAAGGAGATCAAGTCGCAGGTCGACTCGGATGTACCAGATAAGCAGTGTTTATTGTTTATGAGCGCTTGAGCTGCAACTGAAGTACAGGCACCCGAGCTCGGGCTCATTAAATTTTGTGACGATCTTCGCCAGTAGCTTAGTCAATAATATATAACATTTTAATGTAGGTTGACGTACTGAGTTCAATTGGCAATCGACCAGTCGACCAGTGACTCTGACCCCCTCAACATTTCTGAGCTGAGCCGGTGATTGTCAATGATCCAAGCTTTTCAAGTTCCATCGATACTATCTCGGTAACGCCTGGGTTCTGGAACCAATATAATAATTTAGGGCAGAACTACTACTATGTGAGAATCATCACAGCAAAGACCTCGAGTGGGTGAGTTTCGGAATTGATTGGATAGTTTTCCATGAACTGGAAAGGGCCTAAGCACCATCTTACTTCAGGGAGTCACTGACAGTTGGTTTTCGTGCTCTATTGAATTCAAACCGTATGTATGTTATCAGATAAATTATATCCCGCGAGTCTCGGATGCCCTGGAGTTCTACCACTGACCAGGTTCTGCCACCCTTGCACCTGGGTTCGGCCGTGGGCCAGCCTGGCCCGGGCACAACTACTAGTTTTGCCAGACCGGTTGGGAAAACTCTCGAGTTCTGCCAACAACACTGGTGCCGCACCAAGGCAGCGGAAAGCCAATGAGTTGCGTCAGCTCGGATCCCCGCAATCCACTACATAATTCAAAGAACTGAATTGCGAAGCTGTTCAACGGGCGAGCGTGAACCGACCTCGTACGACGTAACGTGGAAACAAATGAAATAAACTGCCTAACCGCATCATGCTCGGATCCCTCGTACACCAGACCTAATCCCGTCAAGGTTCTGAAGTTAACAGAGAGATCAATTCATACCCTTTGGTACTGCAACACAGTGGAATGATTGTGACGGTCCATCCTGTTTAGACTGTCTACAATTGATGCGTAATCGGGGCTCGTTCATACACGAAATATCCCCATTTCGATGAAGGCCCAGGTCGATTGAAAACGGTGAAGCTCCAACTTCAATCAATACATACGTCAAACTGTCCTGCCATCAACGTACTAGACCCAGCAGGAGCACCCGAATGATATGATGATCAGATACAGTCGGAGTCTACCATTTTCAACACATCGTACTAGTACTAGTGGAGTTGGGCAGGGTAATGTCTGTACTCTTCGGTGAGTACGTATTGATCATGTGCGATAAAAGCACGCTGTGACTCACTGGTCTCTGAGAAGGACCTTTTTTCAATGAATAATAGCAGGGAAACAAACCGAAGGGCCAACCATACCCTGAGTCAATTTGGCAGCCGACTACCATTACAGATCCCGCAGTACAACTATTCCATTCCAAGCAACACATATATTCGGAAAAGGACTGGTTCGAAACGTCACTGCGCTCCGAATCCACCGTTACTATAATTCACTGGAGTTTGAGAAGCCAGTACTTCCCGCATTACCTTGTCATTCTGAACCCGCATAGAACTGTAATAGCAAACAGTCAAACTGCACATGGCCGTCTTCAATGGTTCTACGGGGCTAATGGTTTGCCACCAGCACACACAGTTCTCAATCTCCACACTCGTTAACGTTCTCCCCGTACTACCAATCCTCAGTTTCGCACACATACAACTTGACGTATACGCCTTCTAGAGGCGAAGTCGGCATCACATCTTATGCTCACTAGTTTACGCACAAACATAGTTAGTGCCCAGCTTGTTATTGTATCTCTCAATTTCCGTTCATTTCGGGCATGACCACGTTTATCGTGACCATTTAAATTGTAAGTTTGCCTACCATATTCAGGAATTTCTTCTGACACTCATTGTAGCAAGTATTAACATTTTCGGCTAAATTAGTGCGGCAAAATCGGTTGCTCGAGTGTATATATACATGCTCTGGGCATTTGGCTGTTGTCATCGCAGTCATGGCCTCAACGCTTGCACTCGCTCTCCTGTCGCTCGTCTCTTTCGTGGTAGTGCGGTCCTTGCAAAAGAAGAGAGACACAAAGGGGCTTCCTTTACCCCCTGGTCCTCCACCTCTCCCTTTTGTCGGAAACGTGGTCGGAATTGACACAGATCATCCATGGTTAGCGTACTCAAAATGGGGAGCTGAGTATGGTGCGTAGAACCACCGACTTGCATATGTGGATGTGCTGAATTGCTACACAGGGGAAATCGTTTACTCTCGACTCTTCAGTCAGGATATCGTGATCATCAACTCCGAAAGAGTTGCGCATGACTTGCTCGACCGTCGTTCACAAAATTATTCCACAAGACCCTCAGGGCTTATGCGCGTTCTTGACTTGTGAGGCCCTCCCATTGTTTTATATGCTTATCGTTCAACGAGTCCTAGTTTCGGTACTGAGTTCGCTTCCATCTTTCTACCCTACTCGGACAGGTGGAGACTTCGTTAGTAATATCCCCTTCGAGCTCTCTTATCTTTATCACGGGGCTTCATAGACAGGCGAATCTTCCATCAAGCATTCCGTTTAGAAGCAGCGCCATCCTTCCGTCCGATTCAAATGCGTAATGCTCACAATTTGATGCTAAACTTACTAGCCTCTCCGGAGGCGTATGGAACTCATCTCCACACGTTAGTCATTTCCCTTCATGTATTACGTGGCTGAACCATACTTTCTACATAGCTTCAGCACGTCTGTCATCATGTCTATCGTGTATGATTATTCGACAGCGTCTCTGGATGATCCTTTTATCGCGCTTGTCGAGCGTTCACTTGAGATATCTGTAAGAGAACTCAGGCCTGAGGTCGCGGCTGTTGTATCAGAGTTCCCGATATGTGCGTATTGTTCTGCGGTGTCAACTTCGTTCAGCTGTAGTCCTGTTCTAATACACTCACAGTGGAAAAACTTCCTCCCTGGCTCCCTGGAGCGAGCTTTGTAAGGGGTGCCATACTTCAGAGAACCCTCGTTCCCTTGATTGTGGACCCGCCGTTTGAACATGTGAAAAAGAACATGGCAAGTGCCAAGTGCCTTTTGATCTGAGTATTATTTAGATCAGGCTAATGATGATCCTCAGGCCGCGGGAACGGCTGCACCGTCCATGGTGTCGGATGCATTGCGTCGTATACCAGATAAAGCAAAAGATGATGATGAGATTGCTGTTCTTGAGAAAGCAATCAAGGAAGCCAGTGCATCTGGTTATGCTGGTTCGTGATGATCACGTATGTCTTTGATGTATCTTTACTGATTCTCTCCGTGCTTCTAGCCGCCTCAGAAACTGTATGTTTAGACGTCATTTCTATTTTAGCTATCTGCTGACCAAAGTCCCAGACGACGTCCACTTTATACGTCTTCTTACTTGCGATGGTTCTATATCCTGAGGTGCAAGCACGTGCGCAAGCAGAGATTGATTCCGTCATTGGGGAAGCTCTTGAAAGATTACCCGATTGGGATGATCGCGCCTCTATGCCCTACGTCAATGCTGTTATACAAGAGACGCTGAGGTGGTTCCCTGTTGTCCCTCTGGGTGAGTCGTGCTGAATCCTCGTCAAACTCTGGTTAGCACAGTCGTTAACCGTTGATTTAGGCATTCCCCATGCCACGGTGAATGACGACGTCTATGAAGGTCAATACATTCCAAAAGGTGAGTCTATACTGGCCGAAAGCCATATCCCCGCTCTAAAATTATTTTTCAAGGGGCTACCGTAATGGTTAACACATGGTGATTCATCATATCAAGTGAACAAAGATCAAACCATAATCATTTCCTCTTATGCAAGGTTTATGGCGCGCAATCCAGAGAAATATCCTAACCCGACAAGGTTCATACCTGAGCGTCACATGTCAAAAGTCGAAGAGCCGTCAACACATGGCCGTGACGACATTTCCTTTGCTTTTGGATTTGGAAGGCGTGTTTGGTACGAAGTTCGGAGTTTTGGAGATAGTCGGTCTTGCCTCACCTTTTAGCAGTGTTGGACGATATGTTGCGGATAATTCCTTATTCGCTGCAGTTGTGAATATTCTTGCCGTTTTCCGGGTGGAACGTGCACCAGGGTGGAATATCGGGCCTGATGCTGAAGGAGTGAAATGGACGGGAGGCGTAACGACGTGAGTCATCCTCGAGGTTCCTCACAGTTTATCTGAGCCGGCCGATGCAGACACCCTGTATTCCCATGTATCTTCACCCCTCGCCATAACCACGTGAAGGAAAGGGTATCCCAGTTGATAAATGCGTCATGCTAAGAGCTGTGCGGATGATCTAGACCATGGGTCTGGGGCGAATTCATGTACAACTTGAATGCTCGTATGATTTCGTGTTGCTAATTCGAAATTAGTGGCACCACGACAGGCAATGGCTCCTTTGTAATATTGTACCGTCACCTAGGGTTTTTTGACGCAGCTGTTGTCATTGCGCATTGCGCAGCCTTTTGAATTGAACTTTGTTTGCAAGATGGGCCAGGTTCTTGGGTATATTCAAATTTCCACTTCCACCAAATGACGCGGGACCTCATTGCCACGGAATATTCGCGCAAAGGATGCAAACACGCGGCACTCAGAACCATCAGCCTAAACGTGCATGGCCCAAATTTATATCATTCTGTTGTTCAGTCGCATACGGAAACTACACAGAAACGTCCATCCGTCAATAAAAGATGTTGGCCCATAACCCACTAACTAGGGTTTAAATTACACCACCCTTGTCTTTAGAAATAAGGCAATCTACCGGTCCTGGATGTTGTTCAGGAGACGGAGGATGTTTAGGACTGTGAAAGCGATGATCAGTAAATGCAAATATCATATAGGCTCGCCGAAATGACGTACAAAGGTTGATAAAGCTAGAAAGCGAGCGTCCCGTCAGCTAAGAAAGCGTGCCTAGGTAAAGGAGGACTTACTCAAGGTACAAACTAATGGAGCCCATGATGAACTCATCAGGTGAGAGGCGCTTATTGATGATATACGTGTCGTAGACGATATAGCCGCTGAAGATAAGGCATCCACCAATAGCAAATATGATGTCCATCGTGGAGCTGAAGGGGATAAAGATGCCGACCATACCGGTCATGACTGCGGAAGAAAGTTAATTTCAGTTTTAGATATGAAATGTGACACGTACTCAAGGCAACTAGACCACCAAAGAGCCAGGGGCCGAGACCGGAGAAGTCATACTGAATAGATTATCAGAATCGAGTAGCATTAGATCAGTTCGAAGAGCATACTTTTGACTGGAAAGTGAACAGAGTCAAGCCCAAGAATACACCGAGCGTGATCAGTCTGATAAATTGCTCAGCCTCGAGTAGAATAAAGAGATCGATCGGGACATACAGTGCTTGCAGAACAATGATGTTATCAAAAAACGCAGTTACGACGCCGAGCGTGAATGCTTCCATTACCGTGAAGGTGGACAGCAGTACCAGGTTAAGGGGATGGCTATGACGCTTCCAGTACAGCAATCCAAGGTTGACTAGGGTACCGAAAAGGGGGACATAGAATGACCAGGTGCTGAGAAGCATCATGAGCAAACCAGCTGTGCGTCATTTCGAAGCATGAGGACACACTGTGTTGTAACCCAAGCTATAGCCTCAAATGACTGGGAGATTCCACCGGCGACAACACAAGTGGCGAGCTGGAGATGAACGTAAGTATATGCTCGGAAACCAATGCGAATCATCCCGTACAATCTGGCAGACTGCGGCAGGTAGCTTGATGAGTAAAATCTACAGTAGAAGAGATACATGCACGCACATAGAATAGTGTAAACCTTGCGAACAAATGCGCTTCGAACTTCCGGAGAACTCTCGGAGACGGTAACGCCGTACTGCCAAAAGAAGTGTCAGAAGAGTCATATAACATATAGTTTCTCGGAAGAGATACCTTGAAGTCGTCAGGAAGGTCGCCTTGTTGGGGTTGATCATAGATCCCACCCCCCGGGGACCTGGAGCGACCGAGTAACGGCGAATTTGCATTGTCCTCAGGAATACGGACAGACTTGCTAGACGAGCCCGACGGTAGGTACGATGGTGGTGGAACTGGGTATTGGCTTGAGCTCATTGTGGCAAGAGATAATGGTGTGAAGTAACCACTGCGGCAGAGGCCGATGAACTCAAGTAATATGAGTCCAAACCTTGCTGAATAATAAGATGTGGCTGTGCATGTCATTGCTTGCTCCATTTGCCAAGCTGCGTTCATTCACTGGTGGCAGTAGTCATGCTCGTGGCGGATGGCAGACAATTTGGTCATTCAATATTCAATAGTGGTCCGGCTATACGATGCAATGACATTCGATGATACAGCCCAATGATACATTTCACCAGATTCATCGAATTTCCCTCCTGTGCTTCCGACCTCTCACTGAAGCATCCTTCGAAACGTGTCAGGCGTGGGCAGCTTGAGGGGGTCCCGCGTCATCAGAGATTCTCGCGGGACCAGGAGCGGCTGCGGGCGTGCTTGTCGGGCTGGGATCAGGTTCAGCTTGAGAGTGTGCAACAGCCTCCCCTGCAGGAGCACTTCCGGAACCGTAGTCTGCGTTCTTGATCATCCGCTCCCTAAGCTCTCCTCTTCCGGTCTTCTTCTCCCTTCTAACGATCGGCGCCTTTTTCTCCTCACGCGGCTCAGCTAGATGAACGGACCCTGGCGCAGCATGATTTAGAACCATCCGTTGTTCACCCTCGCCAACCTTCTTTCCTTGGTAAAGGCTGTTGTGTTGGTGGGAAGGATGTGATACGTGCGGGATGCCTGCGGCATCTGGGAAAGCACTGCGTACCGCGAGGTTGGAGCTAGGCATAGCATGGACGATGTGGATGGTGGCCGTGGCGAGGGTGGTGACAAGAATGAATGCACGCATGGTTTGATGAAAACGAAGGTGAGATAGATTATAATAGTGGAGCTCGTAGGTTACCGTCAAAGACAAGATTGGGGCGGGTAGAAAGGTTTGGGCTGTCCGAATTTTATGTCTCCAGCCGGGAGGCTGACAAGCGTCGGTATCAGCTTAGGCTTGTGAGGCTGACATTTCTATTCGTCGAGCAGTGGTCAGCCGCACCCCGTGCATATTCTTACTCATATGATCTAACTCAGTGTAGAAGTCAGAAATAAGTTCATGATGACCTAGTACTGTGGACAGACCACCAACTTGAAATGACGGGGGTTCATACAAACCCGTGGACTCCCAGCAGTAAGCTGCAGTACAAGTAGCTTCCGAGGCTAACGGAATTCCAGATATCATGCCCTTTTCGGATGGTGACATGCATCTCGGATCAGTCACAAGTTCTGCGTTTTCAGCAGTGCAGATGAAAACGCAGAGCTTTTAACTGACTCCTGACCTGTCGTGAAATGGCAGCGTCCCTCTACTCTGTCAACACTATAATATCACATGGACCAATGTGCTGACCGCACTAGAACGTCGGAGGATGAAAACATTGGATTACCGAGGGTGAAAGTCTGAAGACAGTACCCGGAAAACGAGGATATCACTGGTGTTTGTCACGAATAAACACAACGCCAGTGCGTGGGAAAAGCACTCATCTGCACAGCGCATCTAACAAGTGAAATCACTGGGATGCAAAAGGCTGCACCATGTGGGTATGTGGTGTTGTGCACCTGCCCGGTGTCCAGCTGGTGGTTCGCTCTAACTGTGGGACATGGAGAGTGGCGCCCGGATCAGCAACAGCTGGCGGAATGAGAGAGATAAAATGTTATAACCTGCGTAGACAGCGGAAAATTCGTCACAGGCAATGCATCTACGAGATGTTCACTCTCGCAGCAAGTGCCACGAATGCGAGGCACTCGGCTCGGGGCAAGGATGAATTTCGGAACTAAGATAGAATCATCTACTTCAAAAATCTAGAACACACCTTGGCACGCCTCTCACAACAATATGCTTATTGGCCGCTTCAGACTACAATGACATTGATTATCAAGCGTTGGAGCTCGGAGTACCATGCCACATTGCCTTGCAAAAACATGTGTCATCAAGTTTCAAAAATAGACATAGAAAATGTATGAACCACGGAGATGAAGCGCAGTAATCTGTTTGTTGCATGTTCGTCGCAACTGTCAGTCAAGATATCAAATAAAGTACAAGAACCCGCGGATAGCGCTAGTTGTGGGACCTGAGCGCTTCATCTGCAAATTACCCAATGAAACAAATACCATGGGAATGCGAAGATAACACCTTCCTCAACCGTACATCATTCGTGAGAGCAGAACATCTGCGTTAAGTAATGGGTGCTTCATCCAGGAAAAGGACAAGCCAGACGTTGAGCAATGACTACATAGACCTGTAACCATTCGCCTTCCAACCACCCTTTATTTGAAGTGGGGAGGGGACATCGTATCTTTACCCTTCACCAAAATAAGGCCGCTGGTGACGAGACGAGACTAACCAGCGATTTGTATACCAAAGTCATCCTGTTGGTTGAGATCAAAGACCTGTGAGTAGACTTTGTCGTTAGTGATGCTTCACATGCCTCTATTGACCAAAAAGAATATAGTCACCCACAATCTTTCTCCTTGCAAGAAATCTGGTTCAGATTCAAAGGTTGCTCTCGCATCACATACACACTGCATGATCTGAATCAGTTAAGAGTAGAATGGCTGATCCCGTTTCAACTTCCATGTCTGGGCCGCGCATTCAGCGTTACTACGCTGAATCGCCGAAGATTCAGGAGGCTGAGGTATTGCCCTGCCGGATAATAGTTCTCCACAATCACCCCAGTGTAAACAATGTTGTGCACATCCCTGGCGGACTGTGCATCATAACTGGCTCAAATGATGGCTTGATCCGACAATGGAACCTAGAGAACGGCACAGAGATAGGCGACAGGTGGAAAGTTGAAGGTCACTACATGTCAGTGACAAGCATAGCATTGTCCCCAAACGGTATTACTCTTGCAAGCGGGTATGGAGATGGGACAGTGAGGTTGTTGGACATTGGAACATGGAAGGTCATCGTCAAATGGACAGGTCACACTGACAAAGTAAAGTCGATGTGCTGGAGTCCAGATCACGGTGAACGAGTGGTAAGCGGATCCGACAATGGGACAGCATGAGTGTGGTATGGCCAGAGCGGAGAACCCGTACTGGGTCTCAATCCAATGATCAATGCGGAATATAAAACTGTATGTGCAGTGGCATATTCACCCAATGGGACGAAGATTGCGGCGGGCAGAGCAAAGAAGAACACATTAAAAATTTGGGATGCCAGGACGGGCAAGCTGCTCTCCATGGTCGAGTTCCAGGAAGAGCGTTCTTTTATAATTATTGATGATGAAGATTCTCAATATGGTTGTATCGGTCAACCAGTTTTCACCTTGGTTTGGGCATTGGATGGAAACTTTCCATCAAATGCCCAAACCAAGAAAGAAGCTTATTTGCGGATTCCAATGTGGCTGGATCAGGATATTTGACACCGCCACATGGCAGGAGATTGCCATCATCAATTTGGATCAACACCATGTCAGACACAGTCGCTTTATTTCGGAACGACCGCCTCTTAGCGAGTGCAACATGGTCAGACATGCGCTTATGGAATCTCGACACCAACCTACCAGTTGGTCCACCTCTCATGCACAATAATGTTCTGGACTGCTTAGCCTTTTCTGATGATGGAAAGCTAGTCGTAGGTGCTGACAAAGATGTGTCCATCTGGGACACTCATGCCATTGTAAAAGAAGCTGGTTCAGAAGACCTCATGACCATTCCAGATGTGAGTGAAAATATACCACTCACTCCATCTTACTGACGATGAACTCCAGAAGGTGTGCAATGTGGACATCGGATGGAAAGAAGCTCATATCTGGATCACTAGGTGGTTTTATTCGGATATTAGACACTGTCACATGGCAGGAAACCACCAGGATGCAAACTGAGAACCGGGGCAATGTCTACCACGTCACTTTATTTCAGAACGACCGCCTCCTAGTGTGTGCACACCATGCAACACAGGGATTTAGGGTGTACTTATGGAATCTCGACACCAACCGCACAGTTGGTCCGCCTCTCCTGCACAGCGCCTCTGTGACCAACTTGGCCCTTTCTGATGATGGAAAGCTATTGGTTGTAGGTGCTGGCTTGAAGGCGTACATCTGGGACACCTATGCTGTCGTAAAAGAAGCTGGTCTAGAAGACCTCTTGTCCATTCCTAATGAGAGTGTAAACTTAATATATCACCCCTCTCCACCTTGCTAACACATGACCAACTCAAAAAGAAGGTCTGCATTATTTCAAGGATTCAGGATCCCCTGGAATACTGACAATAACTTTATCCAACTCAGTCATTGTTGGATGTGTGTGACATCTACTGTTTAGCTAATCGCTCGAAGTAGCCGGCACAAGGTGAGAACATGTTCACAAGAGAATGACGGTGTTAAAGTCTGGTATTCTGGGTTGTAAAAACACTACCCTAGGTATATGACTATCACCCATATTTAACTGATTCTAAACGTAGTGATAACAAAGGGGTTGGGTAAAGTAGGGATAAAACAGTTGGCTGATAACGAATGTGTGTGCCTGACATTGGGCGGTTGGACGCAGCGACTGTCAGAGATAAGGGGAATGGTAATGAGAGTGAACTTGACACAGTAAGCCGGGATGACGAAGTAAATAGAAAAGAAACTGGGAGCTATGGCCGACAAGCGTGGCCATTACATCTCCCCATCCAGAGAGAGCTCGCTCTCTTGTCTTTTGACCTCCCCTCATCCAGTGGTGTTCATCGCCTTGGTAGTGGAGGAGCCGGTGGCTGTGACTCCAGACGTAGAACTGGGTAAGTCCTTCTTTGCTCCCCCTAACCCCCTTTTATACATCTTTACCTGCTGCTTTTCCAAAGTTCTTCCTTCCTGTTCAGTAGCCTCCTCTCCTTGATTTTGTTGCACTGGTAGGCAGCTGTTGTCTTACTACTTAAGGGTCTTATGTACAACACGTGTATAGTGACAACACAACTATACAGGATAAGAATTCTTGCCAGTCCTTAAGTACACGGTCTATGACTTTTCTAGTTTTTGTGGTAGATAACGTGTGAGTTCTTGGGAGGGTTTACTGACGTGTCCTCTTCTTGTTGTTCCCTGGTGGAATACTCGATAGATTCCCTAATGTTCTGATAGTAAGATCTGTTTCAATCTCGTAGGTCATGTCTCAACCTATGAAAGTCTGTCTCAACTTTGTTGTGTTCTCGTGTCTCCCTTCCTGAAAAAGAGAGAGTCTGTCTTAAAATACGTGAAGCCTAGTTAGAAAGCTGTTCTGGTGTTGTATACTCAACCCCTGTAAGGTAGTACACAACAAGTAATGAAGTCTGTCTTAAATACGTAAAGCCTAGTACAAAAGCTGTTCTGGTGTTGTATACTCAGCCCCTGAAAGGTAGCACACAACAAGTAGTTTATAAATAGATTGTTATATAAGCGACCCCTGTAAGGTAGTATACAACTAATCTCTGATACGATGTTTATCTTACTTCAAGGCACTCATGGCCTGCACTTTAAGTCTTATGGACTCTCACGGTTTGAGAGAAGAGTGAAAAGTGGGAAGTTATTATTACTCAGTGTAGAATGGGCTCCTTGTATACCTTTTTGGGAGGCCATTTTACTAAGCATGACTCATCACAGCATTAGTAAGTCACCGGCTTACTAACCATGCCATTTGGCAGTGCTGAATCAGCTGCTTACAAAGTAGTTTACAAATAAAGTTCATAATATTACAAAGCATGATGAATCATGACGAAGCATGATGAAGCATGACCAATCATGACAAATCCTTACAAATCAGATTATTGCCTATCACATGACATGCTTACAAACACATCTGGTGGCTCACTGAAGGATTCTGTGGCTGAATGAGCCTGAAACAAATAGAAACAAATGGAAACAAATGGAAGCCACATGACAAATCATGCAGGATCCTTACCAAGCAGAATATTGCCTATCACATGACATGCTTACTAACACATCTTGGTGGCTCACTGGTGGCTGAATAAACCACACAAAAGAAATGAAAAGGAAAGGAGAAAGGTGAAAACTATCATACTGGAAATATAAATACAAGTAAATCTGTCAAAATGGAAGCAATCATAATAATACAATGAGGTACACCTTAGTGTACTCTCTGTGGCTACTTCCTGTCTATCAATGTCATGGTATGAGTTCCATACCATGCATGACACCGTCAGGGCTGTGTGCCATACCATACGGTTGACCTGGTCC